TTCTATGACCCTCCATCTTACCAAACATGATATCCTTCTCCAGCGACTGTTCCTGACAATATGTACAAAGTATGAGAGAAAGAGTTTGGCCATCTTGGCCTCTAAGGAGCACTCTGGCTGTACTTCTTCCAAAACGGATCTATTGGTTCTTTTGGCAGCCCATGGCACTTTTAGTATTCTCCTCCAACACAACTCCAAGGCATCAATTTTTCTATGGTCTTCCTTATTCACTGTCCAGCTTTCGCATGCATAAGAGGTTATTGAAAATACCATGGCTTGAGACAGGCGCACCTTAGTCCTCAAGCTGACATCTTTGCTCTTCAACACTTTAAAAAGGCCTTGTGCAGCAGATTTGCCTAATGCAGTATGCCCTTTGATTTCTTGACTGCTGCTTCCATGAGTGTTGATAGTTGATCCAAGAAGAATGAAGTCCTTGACAACTTCAATCTTTTCTCCATTGATAAGAATGTTGTTTATTGGTCCAGTGGTGAGGATTTTTGTTTTCTTGACATTGAGATGTAATCCATACCGAAGGCTGTGCTCTTTGATCTTCATTAGTAAATGTTTTAAGTCCTCTTCACTTTCAGCAAGCAAGGACTCATGAGACCACTTAAAATACCAATAGGAACACATTAAATTTTTAGAGATAATCTCAGATTTAATAAAGCGGTACATGCTATTCTACCTCATTTGAAGCATAAATGGTATGTGCTTACTAGCGTTTTACCTGTGTATCTTTTGAGTAAGACTCATTGAGTATATTCTTGATGATCAGTGCACAAATGTCTCAGGGTAAAATTCAGTGTTGGAAGCTGGTGAATTAGACAGAAACACACATGTGCTCTGAGATCAAGATTGCACAAATGAGGCAATAGGCTCACAGACTTCAGGGGAGAAATTCATCCAGATGGAGAATTGTAGGATCGGTATCTCTTTTGTTATGTTTTCAGGAGCCTGGTGGCGCTGTGGGCTACGCATTATGCTACTATCTGCAAGGTCAGTTGTTCAAACCTGCCAGCTCCTTTGAGGAAGGAAGAAGATAAGGCTGTGTGCCCCTGTAAAGATTTAGTCTTGGAAACCCTAAGGAGCAGTTCTACTTTGTCCTGGGTAGGGTCTCTATGAACTGGAATCAATGTGATGCAGTGGATTTGATCGGTTGTGTTTCCACTTCCTAAAGGCAAGAGAATGGAGAACAGCTTAGAAACAAAAGTGACCTCTAGGTGGTGCTGAAAGCAGTTTAGTGACAGTTGGCATCCTGGGGTGCACCTCAGTACTTTGTAGGCTCCAGATCAAAGTGCTCATTCAACAGACTGTCCCGACAGGTGGCTCCCTGGGCTGGTTTTAACACTTTTCGTTTTCATCTATTCCTGTGTTCATACATTTTGGTGGGTTTTTTTTTTTTTTTTTTTGTGTGTGTGTGTGTATTAATACATTTTGGATCCATTTATATCTTATGTCTATAAAGTGTTCCTGTTTAAAGTTAACAAATAGGGAGGAAATACACTGCTTCCGTAAAGATTTACAGCCTTGGAAACCCTGTACAGGGTCGCTATGAGTCGGAACCGACTCCACAGCACATAACAACAACAAAAACAACAACACTTGCTCAGAAAGCTCTTGCCAATCACAGGTCATTCTGCCACAAAACTTTCCTTAAAACACCTGTCCCCTTTTCCCAGTGTCCTCTTTGCCCCACTCACAACTGGTCCAGATGGACCTTGGTTTACCTGCAAATGCAATGTTTCCCAGGGAATGGTTTTATTTTTAGCGGGGAGTAGTTTTAAAGTTTGGAGTCCTGGTGTGGCACTGCGGGTTAATGTGCTACACTGCATGGTCAGTTTGACCCACAAGGTTGGTGGTTCAAGCTCACCAGCTGCTCCTCAGAAACCTTAGGCAGGGTCACTATGAGTTGGAACTGACTTGATGGCACTTAATAACAACAGTTTTAAAGTCGCATTACAGCTGTTACATTTGAAGTCAAATATTACTCTGTAATTCCTGTTAAAACATATGCCATGAATTAAAAAACAAAAACTGAAACCCACCCTCCATATGTAAATCATAGCAAGACATGGGTAGATTGGTGAATTCATACACAGAACCTATTTATAGACACATGTTGTTGTTGTTGTTATGTGCCATGGGGTCGGTTCCGACTCATAGCGACCCTACACAGGGTTTCCGAGGCTGTAAATCTTTACGGGAGCAGACCGCCTCATCTTTCTCCCGTGGAGTGGCTGGTAGTTTCGAACTGTTGACCTTGCGGTTTGCAGCCCGATTCGTAACCACTACGCTACCAGACACATGGTCACTAAAAAAAGATAAATGATAGAAGGAAACTTTAACATAAAAGCAAGCATAAGAATCTATAGATCCAGGCAGGTTTTAACATATACTTTTTTTTTTTATTAAATATGTAAAAAGATAAACGCAAGTCAAGTTATTCACATATTCAGAGACAAAAAAACCCAAAAAACTATCCTACCATGCGACATAGGTGGGTAATGTAAAATGAATGGGATACATCTGATAACTCTTTCATCTATTGTGTCATTGCTTATCTATATTTATAATTAACAATACATATGTTTACATTCCTTTCAGTTTACATTTAATATATAACAAAAGCTTTATGGTGTACTATTTAGTAAAAGTAATTTGAATGCATATTAAACCTTAACGGAAGAATGGGAATACTCACCAGGGAAGGAAGGGAGGAGATCTTGATTCCCTTCTGGAGTTACTTCTCTCGGGTCAACAGAGAAGTTTGTATTTTCTTTTTCTGCTTCTCTGCTTAGAAAGAACATGGGCTCTCTCTTGGCCCCCTGCTTCAATCACTCCCTATCTGACTTCAGTAGTGGACATGCTATAACTGGCGGACAGGCGGGGGGTATTGGTGGGGGGCAGAGAAGGAGAGGGCATCAAGGGCTCCTTCTCAGCAGTGCCAGCAGGTGGCCACGTGGAAATGGAAAGAATGCCCTGAATGCTGAGAGGGAAGAATGATCGTACTTGCCCATCTCCATCATGAAGGAGCAAGGAGCAGCCAGGGAGAGGAGACAGGCTGGGTTACTGCGGAGGAGGGGTGTTATTAGAGAGCTCCTGGCACACCCATGACCTCACAACAGAGTATGTTGTGAGAAGAGAACAGCTCTTCTCAAAACAAATAGACAGTCTGCCCCCAAGTATCAGGAAGGATAAATACGACTGGGGAAAGTTGTCTTTGTAGGATATCTGGTCAGAATGCTCACTGCTGAGAAGGATGTGGGGACGGGGAAGAACGGGGTGGTTCAGTGAAGGCATCCACGAGGTTTATGGAAGTGATAAGAGCATCATGGGCATCCACAGGAGAGGGGATCTGGTAGTGACATGTCAGGGCTGCTGAAGAAATGTCTAGGAAACTTTGTCTGCCTGGAATCATTGGAGTGCAACAGGCTCAGGAAAGCAACACACCAGTAAACAGATGCTACATACAGCACAACCACTACCTGTAACCAGGTGTGGGAGGATGTCACAACTGAGAGCCAGGCCTTGCAGCCTTAGAGAAATGAGCTGCCGCTATGGTGCAGAGTTAGCAGGAGAGAGAAGAAAGGGAAGCAAACACTGTACAACATCGGCCCAATTCATAACATACGTTTGTTATGACCTCAGAAAGATAAACAACCTTTTCCACACAGAACTCAATAGGTAGGTACCACTTTGCTGCAGAAGATTTATTTTGAGGTTACTTTAGGTGAAAAGCTTCAATGTCAGAGTTTAGAATGAGAATTTGATCAAAATTAATAAAAGAAATCTCAAAGCTTTATGAGACATAATTCAGACATTTATTTTAGCTTTTCAGTTCGCAGAAAGTGGGGTGGGCACACTTGTTTCTTGTTTGTTTTTGTTGTTGTTGTTGCAACTGCTGAATCAAATAACAAGTGAAAATAAATCTGAAGTTAGACACCAAGTGAAATGAATGATCCAGGAAGGGGGTGGGTACCATCTGTCAAAGGAGGGGAAAGGGCAAAGATTTGGAAAAGAGACTAAGAAAATGTGCAAATATCAGTTAAAAAAATAAGGAATGCTTTTAATTCATTAATGTTTCTTATATTTATGAATTGCCATTGTTTAGCAAAGACTGATGACAAGGGCCCTGAACGTCACAAGGGGAGATTCCTTGTTCCTGAAGGTTCTGGGAGTCAGGGGGTTTTCTGTGCTCTTTCCAGTGTCAGCACCAGACTCAGAAGCAGGCGACCCCTTGGAATTAAGCTCCCACTCACAGCATCTCCACTTCCAGCGTTTCCGAAACAAAGCCCTGGAAGCTGGGGCTGCCCACCCCCAAGTCATTTAGGAGGAGTCCTCTAGTGTGAATGTCAGGATTTGGGTAGAAAGCCACCCCCTCTTCTTGAGAGGAATAGAGGCAGGAGGGCCTGCCCAGACCCAATGCCCTTTGGACTGCAGATCATGAAGACAGCATCTTGGGGAGAGTGGCTGCCCACCAAAGAGGACCCTGAGAAGGAAAGTACCGTGGGAACCTGGGGGAGAGGAGGCGGAGAGTGCAAGGGTGGTGGTGTTGGGGGGCAGAGGGCGAAGTTGAGATGGTGTTTTCCTTGAGTGAATGTCTTTCAAAATAAACAACGTACAGTGTGGTGGTCTAACATGCTAATGAATGAAGACTGCTGGGCCTTGAAGCCCTTGTTTTGAATCCATTTTTCCCCCCTTTAGAGCTGTGACTAGAGGGAGAAGCTGACTCTGGGATTCCCTCCATGAAACAAGTTATTGTCGTTCATTATGGCTTTCATACCAAGTATCTGTTTCCCTTTGTTCCAATTTCTTATTTGACCCAATTTATGTCCAAAGGTTAGACTTGCAAACATCAAAGCACCACAAATGTGTGACATCTAGTGATAGTGGGTTGAGAAATGCCAATATAAATACCATATATCAAATTACCATTGTTTCACACCAGGATAAAAAGGGGGCACTGGGGGGTAGAGAGGTGGGGAAAGTTGTTCTGGACAGAAATGAAGAAGAGAGCAGAACCAATCTGAAGCAGCCAAGTGATGAAGTTGAAGGTATGTGATCCTACAATCTCCCAGGTAGACGGCCAGAACTGCCGTCTGCTAACACATCTTGGCAAAGTAAATGGGAACCAAGTGCAGTGGCTGGCGGATGCAACAGTGTGTCGATGTTAACGGCAGATTGGAAACAACTGGTTTCTTTTGAGCTTGAGGCCACACATGTTCCAATTCTCCAGAAAAAATGTTCCCACACAAAATGGAAGTGTCACGAGCTGCCGAGATGGTTCAGTACTCTTCCTGCTGCTGGGGTTGCTGTTCGGGGACTTGCTCCTCGGCTTCAGGCTCCTCTGTGTGGCCCTCCTGTAGGGCAGGGGGAGAGTTACAGCTGAAATGACTGATGCTTTATAAGGCCCTGCAGTGTTCACAGTCCCAACAGGCCATGATGTCTCTTGGCTCAGGAGCGCACTACACTTAGGTTTGGGAGTCTGGTGTGGCACTGTAGGATAAGCAGTGGACTGCTAACTGAAAGGTCAGTGGTTCAAGTCCACCAGCCCTCCTTGGAAACCCTATACAGGGTCACTAAGAGTCAGAATCAACTTGAAGCATGTAACCAGTAACAGGCTTAGGCATGTTTCTCCCAGCTCCTGGCAGCCGATACAAACATACAGGGCTACCCTAGCTTCCCTGCTCCCTCAAAGAATGAATCTTTCTCCAGAACACACCAATCAAACTTTTATTCTACCCACTTTGGAAGGAAACCTTCATGGTCAATGTTACATACTTTCCTACCCTCTGGAAAAGAACAAAGCAGACAAATGACTCATGATCACCTTGGCCTGCTGTGACAGCTACCAGTACAGCCCCCGGCCTCTGTCCAACGGTTACCACCCACATTGAAGAAGTGACACTGGGCTTTGCTGTCATTCTTCTCCCCTCACAGCCCGAGTGCCTGTACTTGCTTCGAATGCATCCAAACTCACTGCCACTGAGTCGACTCTGACTTACAGCGATCCTATAGGTAGAACTTCCCCCTATGGTTTCCAAGGCTGTAAAGCTTTCTGGAAGGAGACTGCATTTTTCTCCTGCAGAGTGGGTTGCTGTGAACCACTGACCGACCTTCTGGTCAGCAGCCTAGTGCTTTAACCAGTGTGTCTCCAGGGCTCCTCTTCTGAACAACACAGACCTACATATGACAGGGTAGAACTGTCCCTATGCTTTCCTAGGCTGGAATCTGTATAGGAGCAGACTGCCAAGTTTTTCTCCCATGGAGCTGCTGGTGGATTTGAACTGAAGACCTTCTGGTTAACAGCTGAACACCAAACCACTGAACCACTGGGGCTCCATCTGCTTTTACCAGTCCCCTCATAACTGATTACTCACCTGATACATGCTTTAACACCAGATAAGCAAGCTCATGGGTAAGAAAAGGATAATAAACCAACTTTTGTTGGCTTTCCTGGGCCAAGAAAGCTGTAGCTCAAGAACTTTGGGACATCTATTTAGGGAGCTTGAGGTGTCATGTGCTTACTTTCTGGTTACTGACTATGAACCAGATAAGTGAGATGTCCCTTTCCTTGGCACCGAATGTCACATGTACTCATTCCCCTAACCAAGTGAAGCTTATCGTGAACGTCACCTTCAGGGATCTACAAATCCCTTAATTTTTGACCGAAGCTGAAGGAGAAACGCTAACCAGATAGTAGCTCTCTGTTGCACCAACCACTCCTCCCAATAGTGGTAACTGCTTTTGTGGTGCAGGCAGGAGCACACAGCTGGACAGATGGATGTGCTCATGTGCTTCACACCTTGCACACTGACATCTTCTCCAGCAGTCACCCCTTTCCTGTTTTGCTCCTATTCTTTCTACTGCAAGACAAATGTGTCAAAATACTGTACAGTCATTGCCTCAGATGCCTGAGCCAGAATGATGTCTTTTACTTCTGTGTTTCTTCCTCTGTGCTAAGTCTGACCTGTTATCTGGTTTGTTTGGAATCTTCTGGCCTCATCTGCTGGAAGCTGAGGCTGTGGCAGCCAGGAACACTGCCCATTCATTTCCATACCATCTCTCACTTGTTGCAGGCTCCCACACACCATGTGGAGAGGCAGAAGTCACATATGGCGCAAGAAGGGATGGCCCAGATTATCAGTGTTATGAAGAGCCCTGTGGGCACAATGGTTAAAGCGTGTGGCTATTTATTAAAAGGCTGGTGGTTCAAACCTACCAGTGGTATTAAGAGAAAAATACCTGATGACCTGCTCTTGTAAAGGTTATAAACCCACTGCTATCTAGTCGATTCCGACTCATAGTGACCCTACAACTCTTCCCTAGGCAAATGTTCACAGAAGCAGACAGTCTCACCTTTCTCCTTGAGGTTAGCAGCCCAATGCTTAACCTATGACACCCAAGGCTTCCCTGTAAAGACTGAAACCTAGGAAACCAAAGGGGGCAGTTTTGCTCTGTTCTAGAGGGTTGATATGAACCAGAACCGACTTGAGGGCATCCACTGTCTTTCCAGTGTCGACACACCAGATCAGTTTCTAGTTGCTGCTGAGCCTAATCCAACTCATGGTGGCCGTCCAAGGGTATTAGAGTAGCTTTGTGCTTCAAAAGGTCTTCAATGACAGATTTTTTGGGAAGTAGATTGCCAGGCTTTTCTTCTGAGGCATCCCTGGGTGAACTTGAACTTCCAACCTTGTGGCTGCTAGCTGAGGGTGTAAACTGTACCACCCAGGGACTCCAAACCCAAGCCCACACCCTGCTTGTTTCCTAAGAGGCTGTATAATGTCAACATTATACAATTGTAAGTATTCACTCTAGCCTTCACAGTCCAGCTCTGCTGCTTACAAGCTGTGTGACCTTAAGCACGTAACTTAATGGCTTTTTGCCTCAGTTTTCACATCACTAGCCACTTTCTTCCTGTCAGTTTGTTGTATACTGTGGTGTCTTGCATGTTGCTGTGATGATTGTTGTTGGGCTACAGTATTTTAAATCCCAGAAGGCTCGCCTATGGTGGAGAGGTCTCAGAGGAGCTTTCAGACTAAGACAGATTAGGAAGAAGGAGGAGTGGACTACTTCAGAATGTTCAGTCACTGCCAACCTTCCTTTGAGTATTGAAACTGACAGAAGAACAAATCAAGCTGTCTGGAAGAAGTACAGCCAGAGTGCTCCTTAGAAGCCAGATGGCGAGACGTCATCTCTCATACGTTGGACATGTTATCAGGAGGGACCAGTCCTGAACAAAGACATCATGCTTGGCAAAGTGGAGGGTCAGTGAAAAGGAGGAAGAACCCCCAAGGAAGTGGACTGGCACAGTGGCAGCAGCAATGGGCTTAAGGGTAACCACAATTGTGAGGATGGGGCAGGATCGGGCAGTGATTTGTTCTGTTGTGGAGAAGGTTGCTGTGAGAGCTCACTCAATGGCAGCAAACAACAACAACAACAACAACAACAACAACAACAACAACAGGGTGATTGTGAGGATTCAATGGGTTAATGCCTACCACACAGCAAACATTGTAAGTTTACACTAGAATCAATGTTTCTTAGGGGGTGAACTCTTCAGAATCCACTTTGGAAGCCGGAATTGTGGGGTGAGCATTGGGCTGCTAACTGCCAGTTCAGTGGTTCAAACCTACCAGCTGCTCAGGAGTTAAAATATGAGGCTTTCTACTCCCAAAACCAAGATTGATTGGCCAAGTGGCAGCATCGATGGACTCAAGTGTGGCGACAGTACTGAGGTTGGCCCAGGATTGGGCAGTGTTTCGTTCTGCTGTGCATAAGGTCACTATGGGTTGGTACCGACTCAATGGCACCTAACAACAACTCACAAAAGGTTTTACAATCTCAGAAATCTTATATAGGATCATTGTGAGTTGGAATCGACTTGATGGTTGATTGGTAGTTAATTAAAAGAAGCTAATTTAAAAATGCATCCTTTCTATCACACTAACAGTAAAAATTAGACACTGTGTTAAAGACTTGGGTTCAGTACCAGTTCTGTCCCTCACTAGCTTTCTGCTATTAAACATTAGTTACTGGCAGTGAGTAAATATTAGTTCTTCCTCCTATGCCCATGACCACCCCTGCTGGTAAGCTCACTCCTGAATTCTTTGCCCATAGATGTCCTTTTACCTGTGGGAGGGAGGCATCAGTGCCTTTCCTCCAGGGCCCCAGGGTACGCGATGGCACCTTCTGCTCCTGCTAGGACACACGCAGCTACTCCTTTTCTCTAAGTTGTCACCTCACCTTGACTTCCAGCGTCATGCTCATGGGAAGGAGGACAAACTATTCTGGGGCTACAGGAGAGTCACTGGCCTCCCCCACGAGTGCTTTCTACTTGTCTGGGCTATAAGAATGGTACCCGAATGCTCGTGGTGACCTGGCAAGTCCCACCTGTCTGCTTGCTCCTCTAACTGTGAAAATGTCATTCCTATGTCACGGCCTTCACCCTGAACAAATTGCCCCCATCTCTGGGCTTCCCTCCTGGGCTATGCTTTTGCAGACTGTGTGGGTTCTCAGTAGTGGGCTGAGAACAGGTCTGCCCCTAAAACCAAACTCCCGGCCCATTTAGGGCTAGAAGTGTTGCTTTGATCATTCTAACTCTTCCACGCTAGCATGGTGTCCTCCACGTTGTAACCCTCGGCCTTTAGCGGGGCTGAAACAGGCTTTTCTTGCACAACTGCTTTTGTGCTTCTGAGGCGACTGATGGGAAGATCTCAGACACTAGTCTCTACTTTACACTTTATAGGAAATCTCCTAGGTTCCTAGTCACAGTTGGGAGTTAATTGTGGTGAATGGTGTTAACCCAGGACTGGAAGTCTGAAGTAACCGCTGAGCCTCTAGCCAGCTGTGAGAGCAGACACACACCACACTTGGCCCCTTGCTTATGTGTTGAGCAAGAGGGTGGTTCAGTGTCCTGTCCATGGCTCTGTGCTCTCCAGCTGGCCGAGGGCAGCACCTCACACACACAGGCTGAAGTCCCTCCCGTTCACAGCACATCACCCGTGATGGAATGTATCTGTAGGAGCTCTGGCCCCCAGACCACTCTGCTTGGGTCACACTAGAATAACGAGCAAACTGCCCAAATTGTTAAAGAACTGCTCATGTTTTGGGCGCAAGCAAAGGCAATCTGAAAATCTGGCAGCACGCATCTGTAATTTGGAGGAGGCTATGTTACGTATCACAGCTGAGAGTTCTCAGCCCACGGATTGCTGCAGCAGATTCCAGACAGGGATCTTTCCTTATGCCCCATGTGAGAACAAAGAACGTGGATGCACATCTAAGTAGGAGGCCAGGCCAAACCTATGCCAAATATGGCACATTTAATGTAGTACTTTACAAATTCAAATATTTGTATCTCGCCCATCATTATCTCTCTGAATGCTAGTTGTGAGAGGCTGTGCTATACTTCCTTTTGATAATCAATGGAAAGAAGCAAGTTAGGAAACAATATTGAAGAAGGCTTTCACTACGGTGGGAGAAAAGAGGGAAAGGAGAGAGGTGGGGTCCCCTACTTTCTATCGTCACTTCTCAGCACTGCCACCTGGCTGCTATTCTCTGAGCTGTCCCTGCATGTTCCTTTTGGCTTTGCTCATGCCATTTTCTGGCTAAAGAGCATCCTTCAACTATATCCATTGCCATGTTGTTGGAGTCTGACTCATAGTGACAAAACGTGACCAAGTAGAACAGTCCCATAAGGTTTCCAAGGGTGTGTTATCTCGACAGAAGCAGACTGCCACATTTTCCTTCCACAGAGCTGCTGGTGGGTTTGAACTGCCTAGCTTTCTGTAAGCAGCCAAATGCTTAAGCACTGTGCCACCAGAGCTTGAAAATTCCTAGTTATCCTGTAACACACAGCACAAACGCCATCTTCTCTGTGAAGTCTTTGCTTGTTCCTCCAGGCTGTCTTCATGTGTTTCTCACATAAGTTTTATTTGTGTCTCTATTATCACATTAATCAAAATCTGGTACATTCTAGTCAGTCTATCTCCCTCCCTAAAACTGTGAACTCTTCTAAGGGCAGGGAGTGCCTTCTCTTTCTATATTCCCAATGTCAAAACCACAGATGGTATCTCATAAGCACTGGCTGAGGGACAAAGAAAATCCTTAGATCACTTTAACCAGGGCTTCCATGACGGTCTCACATGAACCTGTTTGCAGGCAGGTGCATGTCAGCTGAGAGAATCAACAAGGGAACTACCGCTACCTAATGATTCAGTCCAGATACCTGTGGCCCCAAGTAAAGTCTCAAAGGAAAAGGTCCTGCAAATAATAAAGACAGCACTGACAGCTGGTTGGTAATTTGCTCTAGAAACTTGCATTGTATTTTAAAAACGGGGACTTGCACAGCCTGTTTAATTCCACCATTCAAAATCCCCTTCTGGATTTCTACATTTTCCAAGCATACAATATTCTACGATTGTCTGACTATGAGAATCAGAGACCACCATCACCAAATAGAGGTTTAGGGGAAGAAATTTTCTCTAGTAAAATACCTCAACCAGAAACATAAATGCAGTATTGACCCCTTCATCTCCACAGTAGATGGAGACCGTACACTGTCAGTCTGCAATTCTTCAGCGGATGCATCTGCATTACTTCAGCTCTTCTCCTGTCTCCAGGAGGGCTCTGGGAAAGGCAGACAACCAGAAAGCTCTGCTACCTCACCTGTGTACACATAGTCATGCCAACGGCACCGTACACAAAGTACTGGCATTTCTTCCCAGACAGCACCCAACCCATACATGTACCCAACGCTGAAGTGTGGGGATGACCTAAAAAACAGCGTCCGGAATAAGCACAGTGGGGCTTTGGAGTGTAGGGTCAGGTACAAGGAGAGGGTAAAAGGGGTGTAGTCACAGAGCAACCATGGGGCATATCCCCATCCTCCCAAAGAAATGACCTTTCAGACCCTAAGATACAGGGGAAGACAGGCAAGAGTAGGAGCTTTTAAAGGCTAACTCCCCGAAGCAAACGGTTAGGCGCTTGGCTACTAACTGCAAGGTTGGCAGTTCAAACCTATGCAGAGGCACCTTGAAAGGGAGGCCTGGTGACCTGCTTTACAAAGTTCACAGCCATGTAAACCCTGTGGAGTGCAGTTCTACTCTGACACACATGGGGTTGCCGTGAGTCAGATCATGATTTTTCCACCCCCAGTGGTAGAACCTGGCTATCCTTGTGGGAGGCAGCCATAGTAACAAGATTCCTTATTCTTTCTCAGGAAAAGGCAAATGTTTGAAGGCTTTAAGACATACTGTGTGATTCCTGGGCCTCCTGGCGTGGAAGCAGGAGGGCAGGCTGCTTCTGAGCCTCTTTGTGTGCGTACATGCATGCATGTACACAGAGAACCAAAAGCACCTAACAGTGTACAGGCACGGAGCACCCACCCTTCCGCTTCTTTTTATAGAGAAGCCAAGGTTTTAAAAATGGGTCCTGTCACATTCTAAACAGAGACACCTGGGATATTCCAGATCAAAAGGCTTATTCTCTATAGAAAACTCAGCAGAGCATGTCTTTCCTTTGGAGTTGTCCAGACACAGAGCTGCAGGAAAATATATCCTGAAATTAGAAAAATTAGGCCAGCAGCTGTGTTGGAAAATTCTGCTCTGATAACCCACACATATAGTTTGTGTTAAGTCTATTTCTCCACAGATATACGTGAGAAATAGCTCTGCAGGATAAGCACTGGGCTACAAACCACAAGGTAAGTGGTTCAAGCCCACCAGCCTGCTCCTCGGAAACCCTATACAGGTCATGAAGAGTCAGAACCTACTTGACAGCACTTGAACAGTAAGCACTAGATTGCTAACCACAGGTTGGTGGTTTAATCCCACCATTCACTCCTTGGAAACCCTATACAGACGCTGTGAGTCGGAATCTACTCGATGGCACTTAACAATATATATCCTGGTGTGGCGCTGTAGGATAATGCACTGGACTACAAGGTATGGGGCCCTAGGCAAAGTACCTTCTTCTTTGCCCCAGATGCTGGAGGAGGAGAGGATTTACTAAATCCATTGCTCAATCTTAACGACTGATGATGCTTTAAAGTATTACATTCCCCCAGGGTGTCTGCATTTTAATTGACTAACACTGGAGGAATGGTTTTCCGAATCCAGACCATAGCAATTTGGGGTGTGTGTGCATTTAGGAGTGTGTGTGTGTGGGGGGGGGAGGGGTGATATGAATGGCTGAACAGAAACTGAGTGTAGTCATCCAGGCAAATCCCCCTGCAGTTAATCAGGGGAGGCCAAGAGCTGTTGCCTCAGGCTGGCTTGCCCCCCCTCACTGGCCAGAGATTTCAGTGGCTCCATCAGCAGGTGCTCTGACGTCCACCTGATAGGTTTCCCACACAAGACTTCTTCTTGGGATGAGATTTGGATCAAGGACAGAATGAGGGGACTTTCCCGCTCCGCAGGACACGCAGGGCATATGCCAGCCCATTAGCAGCCTTAACTGATTTCCCCTCAGACCAGCTTACGGAGATGACAGTAACAGGAATTCATCCAGTACTTGACAAGCTACTGAGCACATTTTACATACATACGTATATATGCCACAAATCTGGACTGTTTCTTCCAGCAGACCTGAAAGTGCTGACGACCGTATTTTGGGGAGTCATCACCGCCTATGGGACCTGACCAGGCGGATTCCCAGGACTTCAAAACCTGCACTCAGCGCTACTGATTAGCAGGAAAGTATTTAAAAAATTCTCTGGGGCAAACAAAATAACGGCAGAGTTCTCAAATGGTAGCGTTCAGAGAACTCTCATTGCCTGGATTTTAAGTTATAAATGGAGTGCACATTTGCTTGGTATTCAGATGAAACAAGATGCCAAGTAAACTTGCTGGTGGCTTGTGACATTCTGTGGAAATATCAGCACATGTGTATCTTGGCCACAGAGCCCTCAGGGCACTCTCAGGTTCCGAGTCAGATGAAACTAGCCATTCTACCAGCAGCAACCTGGCCTAAAAGCAGCTTGAAACGTCAACCCACTGTGTCTTGCCTTTCACAGTGCAGTACCCACTCCTGCTGGGGCCTCTCCATTCATACACTGACAGATTGGGGTGACTTGTCTTCGGCATGTATCTTGCCCTTTCCTGTCTTTGGCAGTCAATTTGGGTGGTATGAACAGCTAATTTGCTTATCAGTTAAGTGAAAGACTGATGATTCAAGTCCACCCAAAGTTACCTTGAATAAAAGACCTTGCGAACCTAATTCTGGAACATCAACTACTGTAAACCCTATGGAGCACAGTTCTACTGGACACACACGGGGGCACCATGAATTGGGGTTGACTTGACAGTAACTGGTTGCTTGGTTTCTCGCTTTACTTCCTGAAACTCGTTTGTGGTCTGTCCCTCTTCTCTCCCACATTTGCTTTCTATTGTCATGACGAAGCTGTGCACTGGACCACCCTTTTAGCGCATTCACCTGGTGGCAGGTCCTCCCCACAAAGGAAGCTGCTCAAAGAACTTTTGACAAAGGGTTATCCCATAGCTCTGTATTGGCAGTGAGTAACCAAGACAACCAGTTATGAAACAAACATAGACAGGTGTAGGGGCTACAAGGATGGCAAAGGCATCTAGATGCATCTCTTCTTTAACCACCATCTGAACATTCATGAAGAGAAGAATCTGGATACAAACTCTAGTGCTCATTTGCTCAGAGGGCTGAAAACCACTTGGGATTTGACTCCACAGGTCCATTTTTCTCAAACTCCCCTGCTTCACACCTCCCTTCCCCCCACCTCCCTTGCCTCCACTTCTCTCTTGCTTCAATGATCACGGTTTTTATACTTTGGGGAACATCAAATGCCTTGGCTGAGTTCCAATTCTCACTGAGGCCCAGGGGAAGCATTAACGGAGTCGTTTCATAGCACCAGAATTAACGGCTCCTAACACTCACGTGTTCGTCTGAAGCATAGAGAACTTCCATTAGTCGCTGCACGAGGTCATCGTTTTCCTGCCCATGTTCTTGGCAGAGTAGCTCAATCTCTCTCAACTTTCCAAAGTAGAAATCCCTTTCCTTCTCCACACCTTCAAGGGCCAGTTTTAATGAATGTACCTGCAAGGAAACAAAGGTGGGAAGAAAACCCCAAATATATATTATAAAAAATAAAGCAACCAACGCTCCCTGTGTATGATGACCCAAAATATGAAGAAAAAGATGCAAAAGTAATTGATGTGTAAGTCTGAGGGAGAAACAACAGAGTTGCTGTGTGGAGCTTGGGCCTGGACCCAAATGTCCAGTCTCATAACACACGATGCACTCTGTTCATTAGCCAGCATCAGAATGGCCATCGTGCTGGACAGTCCACCTAGACTCTGAGTCAGTTCTCTCCTCTTGCGAACACAGCCAGAGCTCATCTGTCACCTAATATGTTCATAACCAGAAGGAAGGGAGATGAGGGCGGTGGGGAGACTGTGGTTATGTTCAGTTTATCTTGAGGACACTCATTTCTTCAGATCACTTAGATTAAGAACGAACCATATAGTTCTTAGTTTTGGACCTGCTCATAAATGATGCTGAGCCAACCGAGACAAATGCTTGCTACTGAGAAGCTGGCTCTTGGCAACACAAGGGAGACTGAGTGAGAATGGGAGCCTGGCTGAGCAGATCTGTCTTCATTTCTCAGCTTCTGGCTTTGGGCATATCACTGGGCGGTGGGAAGATAAGGAAGCTCCACTCTCTTACCAAAAAACGCCCATTCCCTACTTTCTACCCCTTGAAGCAGGTTCAAGGAGCTTCTGGGGTTGTCCAGCGTCTCTCAGTGACCAGAGAGTGCAGGAGACGGGAAGGAGGTGACCGTGTGAAGGCTGACTTCCACAAGGTTGTCCTGGGGGCTGAAGGAACACTGACAGGTTTACATGGACCCAGCTTCCACCCTCAGGCTGCTGTACTCTAACAAGCAAAGCAGTCACAGCCTGGCCTAAACTTTTACCCCATTTCTGCGCTCTGACAATCACCCAGGTTTTTGACACTGTGTACATTTAATTTTATACAGAGAATATTCCTTAGGAGCTAAACTAAGTATGTCATGGACTCTTATGTGAAATTTCTCTTTCACTACATTAAAAGCCATTCTTACCAGATTTCCCAAAATTTTGGGACTCATTCTGGGACTCATCTGTCTGGAATTACTGATTCAGTCCAACAGATAACAGGGCAGGTACTAAGTGACCCTTGTTGCTTCTCACCTGGTCAACTCTCTTTCATCCTGTCAGACTCTAGGGATGTGGCCCCTCAGTGAGAACGTCAGTGATGCCTTCACATCACTGCTCTACCCTCTGTGTCCACTGCTCTCTCCTCCCATCTCTGTAACGGTCATTTTCATTAGTGTGTTGTTTGTGTGTTGACTTGCCTGTCTCTCCCACTAGATAAGGCAGAATATGGTTTGGCACCTATTGATGTTTGGCACCATCGAGTGGATTTCAATTCACAGGAATCCTATGTGACACAATAGGACTCACTTCTATTACTTATGTGACCAATTTATTTCAGGAGTGAAGGTGATTCATTCAAACAGTGTCAATTTTCTAGAACTGTTTATATGTACGTTCATGTATGAATATCTCTATGTGTGCATACGTGTGTGTGTTTGAGATAACTGATGAACTTTGGAAAGCACTGATCCACACTCACTGCTTTCACTTTTCTTCACAGCATTGATCAGCAGCTGATGTACTTATATTTGTTTCCTGGGTTCCTTCAATAAAGTGTTAGCTCCTTCATGAGGGCAGGCATTTTATCTGTTCTGCTCATCACTGTATCCTCAAGTGCTTGCCACATACAAGTACTCAACAAGTACAGGATGGAAAAGCTAGGTACCTTTGTTGCACAGTAATGTTAAATTAATGAAAAACAACTGGATCCTGGTGTAAGAACCTGGTTGGTTACACTATCAAAAGCCCAGTGGATGAGCATCTGTGATGCTGCTGAGTCAACAGACACTAGGATCTAGAGATGTGTGGTTGAGCAGCAACAACCGTTAAAAGTGGTCTACTACAGTGGGGATTCACTGGGTTTGTAGGAGACCTGGATTTCCTCCAGCACCTCTAGGAAGGCTCAGGTAAACAAGTGGCAGAGTCAGAGAAGCGTTTACACTGTGGCTGTGGGAAAGTCTCTGTATGGAGTGTTAACTCGACCTCAGGAGATTGCTTCCTGAGTGATGGCCTTCCCTCTCAGCCCAGGACAGAAACATCACGAAAAGGAAAATCTTAGCCATCTCTCCACTCTTCAGTCTGTGGAAATTCTCTGGCAGGAAGGACTCATCCCCTTGTTCCTTTGCATGTCCAGTGATGTGAAGATGTAAAGAATATCGAACCATATTCTAGAGCAGGGGTGGGGAACGTTCGGTCCATGGATCGTACAAGGTCCATGAAATCATCTGGTCTGGCCCTGCCAAGGCAGCTGCTCAGTTCCAGCCATCACGTTGTTGTTGTTGTTAAGTGCTGTCAAGTTGGTTCCGACACATAGCTACCCAGTATAGGGTTTCTGAGGAGCAGCTGGTGCTTCTGAACCATCAACCTTGTGGCTCAATCAGACCTTACGATCCAGCGATTATTCTGCAGTGCCACACTGGGACTCCACCATAACATCAGGGATGAGTTAATGAACTGTTTGACCAAATGTAACTGGCTAATTTTTAAGTTGATAATTTTGTATAGTCACGGATGACGTTACAAATTTTGGCAGAAAAAAAGGTTCCCCACCTCTGGTCTTGAGGATGTGTGTGAATCACCCTCACAAAGCAGGGAGGGCCAGGGTGCTAACTTGTAACTTTGATTATATGTCTGTTTGTAAGGCCTCCTAAAACTGAAGGCAATCATCCTGAGAATTGAACCAAAAAGAGAATTCCCTTTATTCTAGAAATTCTTCCCTGCTTTAAAACCAGCCAGCCAGCTCACTGGCCTTGGCCACAGAATCCATCTGAAGTTCTGGGCTGGAGCCAGCAGGTGGGTTTGTAGTGGTTTACACTTCTCAGCTCTCCTTGTGCCAACAGGAAAGGAGTGTCTCTTGGACACACTCAACCCAGGAGGACAAAGTGTCCCAAAGAGCTCTGGTATGCATGATTAACAAACAGCTGAGACTTTTACGCAAATATACAATCCAACTGGTGGTATTCCAGATGCATTAGGTAACTGATGCTCAGCTATAAGTATTCCCTAGTAAAAGCCAATAGTAGCTAAATGGTAGGATGAGCTCAACTGGCAAACAAGATTTTATTTTCACAGTCCTGCTATGTTGCTGCATACTGTTGAGTAGATTCTGACTCATAGCGACCCTCCACGGCAGAGCAGAACTGCTCCATCAGGCTTCCTAGGCTGTCATCTTTATGGGAGCAGATGCCCGGGGTTCTTCTTCCACAGAGAGGCTGGTGGGTTTGAACTGTCAACTTTTTGATCAGGAGAGCATCTGACCATAGCACCACCAGGGCCCCCAATACCACCCTAGTCCCTTACACATTATGGCAGAAGTCCAAGTGAGGGAGGAGAAGTGGAGCTGCATCCTTGAGAAAGTCGAGAGGGAAGGGTCTATTCTTAGAGGCCTGGCCACTCGAGTCATTAGCCAGTTTCTGCTTGGGCTAAGCAACAGCCAACCTCAAGTCCTGAACAAGGCAGCAACTCCACACCATGTGCCATTTGCTACACCACCCAGAAACAGCCTCTAAGTATTTCGATTCCATCTTCTACCCCTTATGTGCGTTGATGCATTTCTGTCATTGGAAATGTCAAGCACAGTGGCACATTTATAGTATCACACGGGGCTGCCTGAAGTCAGAGTTCTGCCCACTGGATGACAACAGGCTTTATCTTTTTCATTGAAGTGGTCAGAATGGAAAGGAAACACCCTAGTTAAGCAGCTGTCTGCTTTTAAAGTAGTTTCTTGATTGCGAATACACAATTATCTCAAAAACAGTTTCCAGACTCTTGCTGACTCATCAGAAATACGATGAATCACCTGGAAAGGCCGGGTAAGTGGCTGGGAAAGAGCCCCAGGACCTTCGGGGGTGAGAGCAGCCAGGATGAGAGACTCTCCTCTGACAAAGGGTGAGGTGAGGTGGCTACGGCAGTGGGCTCCATTATCCCAATTGTTAGCACCTTTAAACTAACTATAATCTTAGGTGGAGTCTTTGGTGCAAGCTGTTAATGTGCCCTGCTGCTAACCAAAAGGATGGAGGGCTTGAGTCCACTCAGGGCACTTCAGAAGAAAGACCTTGCAATCTACTTTGAAAAAATCAGCTACTGAAACCTTTATGGAGAACAGTTCTACTAAGACAAACCTGTGGGCTTGCAGTGAGTCAGAGTGGACTTGAGGGCAGCTGGCTTTGATAGCCTTAGGCAAAATTAGCTACTGCTTGTTAAAAGCATACCTAAGCTTTTTGTACTGAAAATTTCAAAGGCAGTTGAGTTAGATTTACTGCAATCATGAGGAATACTGGATACAAAGGAAAGATTTTCTACTTAAAGCAGGACTGTAGCCTTCAGGACCCCACCCATTGGGTTTAACACTCCTGTAGCACTGAATGTCCCTACTGTGGGAAGCAGCAGGTTTATTTTCTCTTGTGTAAAAGCCCACTCCGTACAATCGGTGGCATAATGGGTGATGTGTTGGGCTGTTAACTCAGCGGAAGAAAGAGGAGACTTTCTACTTACGTCAAGAGTTAACAACCTCCAGAACCCTATACAGGGTCTCTATGAGTTGGAATTGACTTGTGGCTGGGCTTTTTGTGGGGAGCATAATTGCTGTTTGTATCGGTCTTGTTATCATGATTTTACTAGTATCCAGCTCACAGAACAGGCTTAAATAGTTACCGAAAGAAAGGAGAGAGAGAGCAAGTTAGAGGGAAACAGACTAACTCTAGAGCATCTTTTAACACTCTCTATAGTCTGAGCTGTAACGCACTTAACAAGTCTGAGCTCACATTAGACACTGAGAGGCAGGGACCGGGAGAGGAGAAGAGGACCGACCTGCACTCATCTGAGGAGAGGCCATTTCTTCTCCTGTCCCAGTGTGTAACACTGAGATTTGTGATCATCATCGCCTATTCCTGATTTTATCTTCCCAAAAATGTCTTTATTCTTACTTGCCGATAGCCACAGATTCTGCTTCAATCCTCACACCCAACCCCCGATCCGATCCCAGGCCTATACGGTTCTGGTCCCTCACCCCTTACACACATCACTGCTCCCAGAGACAGAGTCACGGATGAGTTACCTGTTCATTAAGCTGTATGACTTGTGTTTCTAAATCTTTATCAGATTTGGATGCTGAGCTGCTGGAAGAAGCCCTTTTGGCTGATGAGGGACGAGAAGGTGTGGATCCTGGTTTAGATGCTGGACTTGATTTTGCTGCACCTGGAAGTAACCAGAATAAATTATTTGCATATATTGAAATTGCCTTTTAGATATGCGGCAAATATATGACATAAAAGGAATTTACTAGAAAGCATGAGAAACTCCAATGGTCTCTTCCCATTATTGTTCTTAAGTGCTGTTGAGTGGTTTCCGACCCATAGCGACCCTGTATAGGGTTTCCATGGAGTGGCTGCTGAGCTTGAACCATCAACCTTGAGGCTCAAATGACTTTGCAGTCCAGTGTATTAGCCCACAGCGCTATACCAGGACTCCATTATAGAAATAGCACATATATTGTTGTTGTTGTTAAGTGCTGTTGAGTCGATTCTGACCCACAGAGGACCCTGTATAGTGTTTCCGAGGAGCAGCTGGTAAGCTTGAACTGCTGACTTTGCAGATCAAATGGCTTTGCAGTCTGGTGCATTAACCCACAAGGACCACACCAGGACTCATATATATATACCATTGAAAGGGGTTCACATGATTTAACAATTGTGTCTTATTTAATGTTTCTGAGCACTGTTTTTATCTTCCCTCAAGTTACATCCTTCTAGAGAGATGAGTAACAAATACACTAGAAGGATTTTAAGTGTTATGACAAAAGGTTCTTAAATTTAAAGCAACGATATAAGAAATATCAATACGAGTACAAATTCAATATGAGGACAAATATCAATACGATACCACATTCCCTAGCTGTAGCCACTGAAAAAGCCTAGGAGCAAAGATAATCTCAAAAGCAGT